TGCTTATAATAACACTCGTGATCTGCTGTTCACTCATGACCTCACACGGGAAGTTCGGTGTTGCTGCAAGTATGACAAACACCAAACGGACATTTCCTACGGCTGTGCTCCCTCTGCCCAGGACGCGGCAGCCCCTTTTCTGGCTCTGGCAGCTGGAATGAGAACTTGATGACTTCTGAACCCTCGAAAACATGTTTGTGTTGAGCTGTAAACGATGTGGCATGAAGGGGGTCTCAAAACATTTCCAGTCGTATGGCGCCTCTGAGCAAGACTTGAGAGAAATGGATACCTTCAAAGATGAAGTAGCGCCAAGGACAAGTTCTTTGCCCACGAAGTCCAAGTTAGGATTTGCTCTTCAATCTGTTTTACTTGTTCACTTGTCAGGTTAAAAGTTGTTTTTCCTTTAAAATTAGGTAATATCAAATGTGCTTTTCCCATTTACTTTATCTTCTGCTGAGCGCCCATGGAAGGAGAAAGACATTTCCAAGAATGTAAAGAAGAGAAAGTGTCCTGTTTTTCCTCTAGTTAGAGCTTCTGAAGGAATTTTTCTGATTGATACGTGCAGAGTTGAACAGTGGAACCTAATTTGCTGCTGCGAAGAATTCATTCACTCACTCATTCACTCAGTGAACACTGATGCTCAGTGTCTCCCATGTGCCTGTGCCACACACTAGGAAGAGTGTGCACCATACACTCATGACCCCTGCCCTCATGTTACTTACAGTCTAGGCACTCCACATGTATTATTTCTAATACTCACAATTCTCCAAACTAGGCATTGCTATTTCTACTTTGTGGGCCAGGAATTTAAGGTCTAGTAAGGAGTTAAGCAACTTAGTACTACCCAGCTAGTAATTGTTGGAGCCACGATTCAAATCCCAGCCCATCTCATTTCAAAAGCTGGGTTTATCAGTCTCTTGACTCTATCATACTATCTTTAAATAAGTGTAGTTCTTAAAAGTTACAGAATTTAATGTTGTATTAAATGTATCATGGTTTAAGAAAATGAGAAATATTTTTAAAAAGCAATCATTTTTTCCTTCTTAATATATGTCAGATGTACAGAAAGCAAGGAATATCAGTTATTTGGATACTGGTTCAATGCCCTAGCATATCTTTTGGAGGGTTAGTAAAATACAGTATTTATATATGTTCTGAATAAGTTTTATACCATGACCTGTAAACTCAGTGCCTGCTCTGGTGGTACAGAGCTGACAGTGTCACTTTTTGGACACAGGACATTGGGTATATTACACAATGAGGTTCTGTTTCTTCATCAGTAAAATGTGGACATCATCTCCTGCCACATGGAGAGCTATAAAGAGTAAGCGGAGGAAAGTATACAGAATGCTCAACAGTCATGGTCACACTTCAGTCTCTTCCCTCTGCCCCACACACAACACACCAGCTTTTCCAACAATGGCAGTAAAGATACCTCTCTTTGGCGTTTACAGACAAAAACATATCTCCAGTGGAAATATCCCAGAGAATGAAGATCACTGACTCTGACGTCCTGCTTAAAAGCCTAGGATGTAAACAAGGAAGAGAAGCTTTCAGGATACGTTTTTCTGGATGACTCAGGTTTAGGGTGACCCAAGAAGGGTTTGAATGGATAACTGCTAAACCTCAAGTAATCGTCCACTTACGCAAATATATATATATAAACATGCTAACACACAGAGTATATCTACAGAATAATAAAACTTTAAAAAAAGCAAACATGTGTGCTCATTTAAAAGACTGTTATTTGATTGAAGAATATATATATATATATATATATGTATAACCGAATGACTATGCTGTGCACCAGAAACTAACACAACATTGTATATAAGCTATACCTCAATTTAAGAAGAAATTAAATATTGTCCTCCTGAAAGGGTGTGTATTTATTTCATTCATTCGATGAACAGATATTTACTGGGTGTCCAGTATGTTCAGCATTGTGCTGGCACTAGGCATTTGATGACGAACAAAATAGTAATGTCTCCTCCTTTCAAAAGCAGTTTTGAAATCACATGTGGAATCAGTCATATAATTTGTTGATAAATAAATATCACTAAGAACATTCAGACAGAAATGACCCTTGCCTGAGTTCTTCATAAAACTCATTCTGGATCCCACCAGCCAGGAGAAAGCATTAAGTGACGGATGTCTCAGAGAATCTACGTGGCTAGCAGAGGAGCTCTTTACTAACACAATAGAAAAGTGCCTCTGGGCTATGTCTGTGGCCCCAAGTTGAGTGTCTCATATTTCCTGAGCCTGATCATTGTTCATTATGATGATAAAAAAAGATTCCCTTTTTTCAGCCTTGGAAAAAATCCCATCCAAATAATTTTTTTTTGAAGCTTGAGATTACATTATTTATTCTGTTCAGGTTTTAAAAAATATTTCTGATTTTTTTTCTGCCAATAACCAAGCCCTTTTCCCTCATGGAGAACAATCTTGATTTCTGAAACAGTTCTTCTTCCCTTGATATCACTTGGGGGGTGCGGTGGAGGGGGGGATGGACATTATTTCCCCTGAAAAGTAAACAAGGGAATAAAAACAAGGTGACTCAAAGGATGAGGAAGTGTGTTTTTCTAGAGAACAAAAGATTCTTTCACAGTATGTCAAAGACTTAACTGTGAACTTTCCTGAATGTAAACACTGTTCAAATGGCAAAAGGAATTTCATCTATGTCTATAAAAGGTCCTGCACAATAGTTCTTGCTGGAAGCTACATTTGGCAGGCAGTAAAATAATCTTTTCTTCAAATACTTAGCATACAGACCTACAAAAACATTTCTTTTTATTGTTCAGGAGCAATATGATTATAAGTACTTTCATAACAGCAATAATAACACATAGATCAGAGTAGTGCTAAAGGCAAGTTATGTCATAAATTACAAGTAACATCATTTATGCCTAGAGTATCCAGGAATAAAGAAGTACTTTAGGAGATAGTTTAAAATATTGGGCTGTGGCTTTCCATTTAGCCTGAGTTTAAGACTTACAGAGTACTCGATTTTAAAAACAGATTTTATTATGATCACAGCAGAGGACTACCAATATTTTAAATTGATAGGAATTATGAGATGTCAGTTAGCTAAAACATTTAATGTTTCCTGCTTTAAAGTTTTAATTCTTCACAAACCTAGTTCTAATAAATTTAAAATTGATGGCAGTAATTATGTTCGTAGTATTTAATAGAGCTAGTTGCTATAACCAAACTGTATAATTCTTATGGAAATGCCAGAGATCTTTCCTTATCCAGCTGCAGATTTTTCAGACACCTTATGATCACCATCATCAGCCCAAATCCCACTGCAGCCAGCTGCTAGGGTTCTTTCTCTCATCATTACGGAAAGATTGCACAATTTCTAGGATATGATCTAAAAGGACTAAAACTCAGGGTCAGAGGATGTTGAGGTTTTATTTTGGGTTTTCGATTTCAAATAATGAGTATAAAATGGGAATGAGATGTTCTCCAGGACCCTGTGGGGTGGGGTGAGAGTTGGGGCAGTGGCAGGGTTAGTGTGTCTCTGAGATCAGTATCTGAGTGACACTCCCTCTGTACCCCTGCTTCCGTGGATTTGGGCAGCGTTGGCTCTTTCCAGTATTGTGGAAGGAATGTGTCAGCTAGTCAAATCCTTGAAAAAGGGGCTTGTTGCTTCCTGAGTTCCTGGGAGAGTGGAGGGCACTGAGGACTCCTGAATGATTTATTCCATGGGGAGGAACGAGGGTATAATGTTGAGAGAGGGTAATGGCATCTCCTGGAGACCAGCCCCCGCCAGAATGGGTCCAGCGCTTCTCCTGGGGGAGGAGTGTGAGATTTCATGTTCCTGGAAGGGGTTAATTGGGCAGAGGAATTATAAGGTTCATGCTGTGAATACAGTGAGAAAGAATGGTTCCTCCCAATTT